AAACGATAATTGCCTGGTGGACACAGCTGGCAGTCAGTGAAAGGAATGCTGCATTCAAGAAATGTTTTAGAAGCAAGAACGCTTCAGTTCGCATACGGTGTGTAGAAACGCGCAAGTCGATATCGAAGACAGTGGCGAAAGCCAGTGCTGATTCTTGGCAGAAGTTTGGTATGATGTTGCAGTCGAATTTCTAGACGGCAAAGTAGGTGTTCTGGCAGACCATACGCCGGCTTCGAGGTGAAAAAGTCGGGCAGTCTAAGAGATTTAAATGAAAAATCTGGACACCTTCTTATCGCGGATGAGGACATTTTTCGGTAATTGAGAGTGTACTTTGAGGAACTCAACCCTAAGCAACTGCAGGAAGACTGGCCTATAGAACGGATGTTAGTACCTTTGTGCAGGAAATGTATGTTAGTATCTTTGTTAATTAATCTATGGAATCCGCCCTGAAATTAGAACAAGAGATTTGCTGTCCGCCCAAACAAGAGATTTGCTCAAAGCAGTATGAGAACAAGAGATGTGCTATCTTTCACGTGTCTGTCGAGCTGCAGTGGCTACGGGGAAGACACCAATGGGCTGGTGAACGAGGTTTGTAGTACCCCTGTTCAAAAGGTGATACCACAGGGAATGTTCCAGTTACCGGGACACTACCTTATTGAGTCTTTCTGGTAAAGTCTGCGCAAAGGTGTTAGAAAGGAGGTACCGCGGAATAACTGATTCCACGTTGCAAGAAGAACAATGTGGTATCCAGCACGGCCGAAGCGCATCTGACTCGATATTCGCCTTATGCCACATTGTAGAAATCGTTAGAGTTTGCCCATTTGTTCTATATGTGTTTTTTGGGCTTAGAGAAAGCCTATGACCGGATTTCTCGCAATAATCAATGGGCATGCCTGCAAACAGAATATATGGCCAGTTGTTACTGGCCATCCTATCACTGTATGCTGACAGCAGGTACTACAACAGAGTAAATGGCATTAAGTCGAAACCTTTCAGGATTTTCACTGGTCTCCGCCAAGGCTGTTTTCTGTCTTTTCTCGCGTTTGTGTTGTACATGAATGGAATTGTCAGGTTGGGACATGTGTACCTACGTACTCTTCTTTAGACTTCGGTTGTCTTCTGCCGACGCTCAGACTCTGGCAAGGATTGGGAACGTTGAAGCACTGTCTGACGCGTCTGCCTCCGCTCCCTGAAAGGAGAATCGGTCACGGAAGATGAAAGTTGCTTTTCAACTTCTGCTCTGGGAGATCCGTTTAGCAGCGCCTGACTACTCTGTTCATTTTTAAAAAATAACACAAACGGCACTAGTCGCCAATACAATACCATGCCGAAGGTCTTATCTAGTTCCCTTGGCTCGAACACAGCTTGTGTATTCCAAAATAAGCTCTGAGTGGTTTTGCAATAGGAGAGTTCCAAACTATTCTGCTTAGATTCGTCTATGTCTACCCGGGGACTCAGTCATGTTTTCTGCTGATCCGCAGTCGCCATCCAGTATTATTATATTCTCCAATATCATTACCACTCGAGGTGCGGTTCATCTGTTTTCGTTACATAAACGAGCGTCTGTTTGCTCATTCTGTCATTTTTATGTTGTGAAGTAACTGCTTTTCTGCATTATTAGTCAATTATTTCAGCAATTTGGTATCTTTTGCAGTTCGATATACGGTCAGGCAGTATCAATGTTTTGAACCGCCAATTTTCATCACTTATTTTGTGGACTGCCTTGCGAGGTTGAAAGAAGTGTTTGTTTCTTTGACCAGATAAAAATTAATCTCCTACCTCATAGCCAAATTTTTTCTTGTTGACTTGTTTTTTCGAGTACATTTTGGAGTCTCATCGCTCTGTTCTCTCTAGTCACTGAAATGGAGGAAGCGAGTCCGAATCTGGCCGTCATGTCGCAGGGAGGTAATTCTTTACGTTTCTTGAACCATTCTGACATGCTACTTCGCAGAGCGCAGCTCGTACTGTTTGTCAAACGAAGTTGCTCGTGACGAACTACCGTCACGTATGCCGGCTGGTGTACTGAAGCGACCAGGTACTTTGTCAATTTATGTATGGTATATGCCTTGTTTCCACGGGTTACTTCTTTGCTGATTACGTAATAGTGAAAAGCCTGTTTGTCTGACATACTCAAGACTCGCATCGATTTCTGCTGGCATGTAGGTTCAGCAGAGAGTGAAAGTTTAGTGTTTGTGAAGTTTCGCGATACGTCGCCAGTTTTGTAGTGGTGAAAGACAGGAAGGTAAATAAGTTAACAGAGCCTACAATGACATGAATGAAAAAACCAAACTTTTTGATTAAGTCGACAAACCGATTGACGCAGTATTTATTTAACTCTTTGCAGTTGATATAGTACAACATAATACTGGAAAAGTAAGCCTAAAAATGCAGATAATGCAAATTTTGTATGAGCTTGAGTAGTGATAGTTGGGGGTAATGAGTGTTTATTCTTCAAATGCAAATTTTACTTCGTACTGCATTATCTCTTTGCCGATTGAATTCTGTCTCTTTAATCAGGCCAGAATGGTTTAAAAGTCAGTGATAGCCGTTTCAAAGAAAATAAATAACATTCATCTACATATTAGTTAACATTAACAAACTTCTAGCCTACATAAGCGTTAAATGGTTAGTTAAGCCGAAATTTCCTGTTTCTTAAAAATTATCCACGATGCTCCTTTAAAATCTGTACTCAAAACATTGAATTTACAGGTGATTTCTTTCAAGCGGTAAAATATTCAATAATCATTTATGGGGTAGGAAATTTTTTATTTTATAGCTACTGCTGAACATGCTAAACGTTTAGGAATGACAACACGACAAGATGCAAAAGCCGTTGTTTTCGTGGATGGCGTAAAACCTGGCGAAGCCGTAACTCCAATGCAGACACATTCAGGCCGTTTTTCTGCGAATTTCCAGCAGAAATCGTCTGATCTTTCGGTGGTTAAAGTAGTAAAGGGTCAGAAGCAGCACTGACGTAAACCTGCCTCTTCACCTAATGTCTTTGCAGACTACAGAAGCAGAGAAAAAGAGTCATTCGTTTCACTCACGTCTGGTCAATACCCCAACGCTACCTTAAGCAGTGGTACGAACTTTGGATGGTTATATAAATTTTGATTTTAAGGCGCAGTTGCTGATAAAGTTTTGTGAGCAGTGCCTTTTTGCTCTGACAAGCGTTGCTACCGATTTCTATAATTCAGTTTTTGTTGAATGATTCCTTGGCAACTCTTGGTATCCCATTTATTAGATTGTACATTTACGAAACGACTTATGCTTTAGTATATCTTTACAGTCGTTGAATAGTTCGTGGATACCTTGATTATCGTACTGCAAATAAAACGGAACAGACCGCGCATAGTGCAAACAGAATCTTGAATTTCCTGCATTAGCACCGACGCTTTTTAGCACCTCATTGTTGACTCTTGACCATCTGCAGAATACAAGTTCTTAGTTCGATGCTCTCCCGGCTGCACTAATTTGCGTTTTTGATATTTATGTACCGTAATATAGAAATATCTCTTCCCGCAAGACGCGCCTCTCCCTTGCTTTGATCATGTCTGTTCCTCTCTAATAGAGGCCTTTTGTTTCAGTGGAACATCCGAAACGACGTCTAAGCAACACGTAACAGTGCAAGTCTGGGCTCTTAATTTGATAACGGCGATGTGTATAACCATTTTTAACGGGTATATGTATTATAGATATTGCTACATGGTACAGGTAGAACTTATGGTTAGGAAAATGTAATTGGACTCTGACGATTAAGTTTTGCATATATGTTCCTCTCAGTTCTCGAGCTTTTAAGGATAGAACCAAAACGAGACAGACGCTGACCAGAATGGCAGTTATACAACGTGTGTGAACCACATTTTCAGATTTTTGTTCCTAGGCGAGCTGTTCATTAGCTGACTGGGCCGCTTTCTTATAGCGGAAGTACCGGAAAGCAAAGAATTCAATGCTGATAGCAGCCTAGAGACGTTTTGCTGATGCAGATGGCTCAGCTTAAACGTCACGACAAGCACTATTGTAGGTAAATATTGAAATAAGATGAAGTGGGTGAATGGCAGCAATGGTCATTCAGCAGTCGAATTATTAATTTTTTCCGGTTGCTTTGCCTTTTATGTGCTCTGCTGCATAAAGTTACCGTCAGTTTTTTGCTGGTTACATGCCCACTGTGTCTGCATATGCAATTCTCTATTTATGGCATTCTGTATTCGTATGTATGGACTAGTTGCCGACATCAGAATTCCCTGATTTTGTCATCATAAAGGGTAGATTTAAACTACTGAAAACCGACGACGTGTTACTTTTAAAAATCCCTGGTGGCGGCATGTACCCCTGAAATAGCAACAGTTTGTACAGAACGTCGGTGTGCTTAGTGTACTTTTGCGAGCAGCGGAGTAGATTTGCTGAATATCTGTAGGAAGGTTAGAACGTGGCTACTTGATTTCTGCCATAAACTTCTGAAGACGTCTTCGTTTAGAGCATAATTGTTCTTCTTTTATTATTTAGTTGTATAACCGTTGCTTCTTTTTATGATTTTCTCATTCTTTTTGGAAAGGGCTCTTTTGGCTGAAGGACATGTCTGCGGACGTATTCTTAGCAGTAAGCTTTTGGACTTTATTTGTTTGAAACAACAGAGAAATAGAGGAACAAAGTTTTCATGCGCTCCTGCTTGTCATGTTTTTTGCGTGGGAGTTTTCTTCAAGCTGCCTTTAGTTTTCTGTGCCTGTGACTGGATTTAAAAGTTTTAGGCGTGACCGAGATCTTATAATTTGCGCATGATCGAGAGTAGTACCTTTGTACTAGCGAAGAGTTATCTCGTAAATGCTCTGTCTCCTCGGACATGAAAAAAAGTGCAGTTACGAAGATCGACTGATCCGTTTGCACGGTATAGTAGTCCTTCGCCTATCACTAAGTCATTCGTCACTCATCTTGCTGGACGCTCTTGGATCATCCTATTTCAACCAGATGATTTTTTTGCAGTTCGATTTAATAAATTTATGCGTCTATAATTACTGCTGGATTATACAGTGCGTCTGTTTACTGTATTCAGTCGATGACAGAGTTCTAAGGTCATAACTTGCTTTTGCCCTTTTGTGCTAAGCACTGTCTATGGAATTTCACGAGGCAGCGCATAGCTGGACTTTGTTGCAATCTGCATCTTGTGGCGTTTCGTACCATATTTAGCACTGACCTTTGATCGGTAGGTCGCCTGGCAATTTCATATCATACTCTCTGGCATAATTGCTTAGTAGCTTCTGAAACACTCTATTTTTTGTAAGGCATTGTTCGGTGAAAGTCCGTTGACTTTATAATTTAGGAACGCCGTTGCCCGATGCCACCTCCATTCAAGATGCACTGGTGAAAGAAAATTTAAGTGTCACATTCCAGGTGAAACGCAATTTGAAAGTGAATGTGAAACTGATGAAAGGTGAGCTTTCGAGAATGATCATGCACGTGATTATTTTGTGGTTGCAACTCAGTGTGCCGCTTCACCTATGCTTTCAGATGCCTGGAATGCATGGTGTTTCAGTAGCAAGGGTCTCGTGAGCACCGGAGCCAGAGAAGTTCTTTTCCTTTTGCGATGCCGCGATGACTTTTCGCTGTTTCCGATCGTGTTCTTGTCTTTCTTCGACTTGCTTTACGACTACTGCCTCGAAGGTTCGTAACGTTATGTCGTTTTCGTAAATTTCATCGCAATGATCTTACAAATACAACCTGCCAGGGTAGAGTACTGGTAGGTGTAATTTCCCGTTGAAATTTCTGTTAGAGTTAACCTGTTATCTGAATTACAAAGATTGAAGTCAAAAACTTAAGTAATTGACAGAACAGTAGGCAAATGCATGCCTGGACATTCACAACGGTATACGCGACAAAATATAATTAAAATTAGAAAGCGGATTTTAACAAAGATTGACTCTGAGTGCGGCAGGTAGATGACAAATCTTTAATCCGGAGTGCGTGTTTCAGGAATAGGAATTGTTTGTGACTACGAGTATACTGTGTGCTGGTTGTAGTCAGATATTCAAGACGCTTTGCAGCCGGAAGACGTACGTATCAACCTGCATGACCGTACTTCTTGCACGCTTCCTCATGAGCACACCAAACCACCATGCTGACCGTTTTATTCACGGGTCATCGACCTGCTACGCGTTTTTCGGCTGTTTGCGTCAAAGCGCAATGAGTGAATTCCTTACTATGGGGAATGGGGAATTAGCAGTTAATAGAAGACAGTTTGCGCCGCGCATGAGGTTTAAAGCAGGAACTTTTAAATTGCAAAGCTTACTATTATCTCATTGCTTCACTTCACCAACAGCCATCAGTCAACTTTCGTAGATTTCCAGTAGTAGTAAGTACAATTCAGCCTCATCATTATGACATCATTCTCTTGTTTCCTGCTTCTATTTGTAGTAGCGGTTGGGGCTATTAAATGCACACTTTACTTTAGAACCGGCAATGCATTTCGCATGGTCCATTTTGGCTGAATATATATTTTCCATTATTTTTCGTTAATGAGCGAACTATTTCTTTAGCCATAAGAAATAGTGCATGATGCGTTGATGCACTTCAGATGACAGATATTTTCTAGAGGTCACTTAAATGTCCTGTTAGGGATCTGAGAGCAGGCGATCGATGCAATATCATGGTGCAGACTGTGAGAAAGATTATGCTTAATGATTCTTAGTAACATATTTCTTGGGACCAACATTTTTGAATATCAAATATAAATAAGTATTATTCAATGAGATTACAGTTCATTGTGTCATTTCATCTGTTCCTTCTTATATGCTTAGAGGGGCAGTTTAATCAGGGAACGCTTCCGTGGTATTTTAAGTCACATCTAGCATCATTTTCGTAGCGACATCTTGCTGTACTTCTGAAGCTAACGTCCCGTATATGCTTTTCTGGCAGCATCAATCTGTACCAGAATGCAGGTTCATATGCCAGGAATGTGTTGGTGAATAAAATTTCATCAGATTAAGTTACATATCAAATATGATAGGAATACCAATACAATGTTGAGAAACAGCTTGTGTTAAACTGCCAAAAAACGCTGTAAATGTACAAAATATTACTAAGACTAGTTCAGAAAATTGGATAACAATGCATACAACTAGGTCAGATGTAAGTGAGGATGAAATGAGAA